TTCAAATTTCCTTGGTAATTTTCGAAAGTGAATGGGAAGTATTTGACTTTATGTCTAGCGAGGACTCTTGTGACAAATGGCTACCTTAGACCATTTTTGATTGGTCAGGTATGTTTTTACATAGTTAATTTCTATTTCGGATCTTAGTGCTACCCGTAGGTGGGGCCCATGTAATTTTTGCAACTCAGTGAATAGCCAAAATCACTAAAGAATGAAAATCGTACATTTTCTGCATATTCTTCAAATAAAATCACATTAAACCAACAAGGAAATTTGAAATTCTAAAAAATCGGGAGGCAACATCAAATGAAAGAAGCTCAATAATTCATCTAAAGCCCACCATTTGTAGCAAAAATGTGCTTTAAGATAACTGTAATAGAAGCAGAAATCACGCTTGTTATTCATTTTTGGCTCACTTTTGTCAATGCATCTGAGACAGACAAACATACCATTCGAATTGTACGACGTTACCCCCTGATTAACTGCAACTTTAAACACCTAGAACTTTGGAACCGTACGTTGTAGGGCTATTGCTTTTCATAAAGTCGAAATAACTTTGAAAGAGCAATCCAAAAATGTATTTAGATTTAAAATTCGAAAAGTTTACTTTTTTTCTGACAGTGACTTGTCGCTCGGTCAATTACGTCACTGCCACGTGACAGGAACCAATTTTCCAAAATGTCTCAACTCGGAATCTTGATCCCTTATATATATACTTTCATTCTAAGCATTAAAAGTTTTGGTTACCCAGATCCTTAGATTGTAGTGGAAAATTCCCTGCCTACACCTTACATGACAGAGATGTTCTTACAAGTTGCCCAGAACAGAATCACTAGAAGATCTAAAAACAAACTTAATCAACCTTTCCGAAAAAAACACAGGTCAAAATTGCCTCTCAAAATTGCCTCTTGGTTCCAAAATATGGAACAATCTACCATCAAAACTAAAATCTGCAAAGAACGTCAATAGTTTCAAACAAAAGATCAAAAGATAAATTCTTTGATGATCTACAAAGTCAAGAAGATAGCCCCGACATATTTTATTGAAAACCCAAATTCAGCCAACGAAAATTTTCTAGTCAACATTTTTCCAGAATTACTTTTTTCTTAGTTTTTGGTTACAAATCAATTTTTCATGTACACATTTCTTCTTAATAACACCTCTGGAGAGACCATTATCGAAACAAAATCGTATTGACCTTTTCAATGCTATCCCTGCCATTTTGAACCTGGGGTGTTTTTAGTCTATGTTTTTAACTTCTATCTGTAAATTTTATATACCTGTAATTAGATCTTTTGCTTTTCTTAATTTTAAATTGTAATTTATTTGATGGCAAAATTATACACACATACATACATAAATATATGCAAGGGGCAAAAATCTCCTTTGAAATCTGACTCACCCTTAATGATAATCTTATTTCATTTCGAATATCTCCTTTTCTTTGCAAAACATACATTCGTGGTACAGAATTTAAAAGCAAAATTTTTGAAACATGTTACTAAACCGTTTTGTCTTTTTGAAATCTTTACCCCAGGAAATATATTTACCTAGTTGCAGATAGAAATAGGCCAATTAGAAACGCGAGCAGGTGACTTTTGAAGTTGCCCAATCAGTGCCGTCTGCATATTGAGAGCAAACTCTCTCTTTCAAAGGTGGGAACTAACTCCTTCTATCCGCAGAATAGTTTTTTCATCTTTTTTTTTGCTTTTTTAATGTTTTTTTCTAGCTTTTTATTTCATAACTTAACATAACTTTTCATAAAATCTGACGGAAAATCGTATAGAAATAGGAACTTAACATAAAGAATAAGAAATAATTTTTATGAAAATATATTTTTAAAACGGCTAAATGTAACGAATTTCGAGTTCTACCAAAAATCTGAAAAATGTCGCCAGTATAGTTTCCCGTACAGTAGTGTTGTAGAATATCTTCCAAATAGCAGTGATCAGGGCCAAATTTCCAAAAAGTAGAATTGAATATTAAATGTGTTTATTGTTTGATTTCTTGGTCTTACCAGTTAACAATTTTTTGTCTTCCTCTAGGTAGCGGCGGGAAGTGCGACACAGATATTGATTGCAAAAACCAGGGACTGTGTCTGGCATCAAAAGATGACGAGAAAAAAATATCGGAAGGCGACGATAAAGTTTTCGGAAAATGCTTCTGTTTTGAAGGCCGCAGTGGAAAGAACTGTGGTAAGTGTAAAGTATTATCACAATGTTGAATGTGAAAAGTGTTTTTCTAGAAAGATCAGTTGATAATTTTCTAGATAGGTTAAAATTTGATAGGTTAACATGTTAATGCTTAAGTTGGCAACTAATTTATAGCTGTATGCCTGAAATAACTCTACCGAAACTGTAAGCCAAAGATATGGCCGATTGTTATTGCAAAACAGAAAAAAAAATTATGATTTTGATACTAATTGTAATATTGCAATCCGCTTTAGAATTATTGCCAAAGTTCCGTTGATGAACAATCTAGTTTTAGAACTGACTGGGTCCATTTTGAAAACGTTTTATCCATTAAGTCGTAACGCGATGGAAGATTGTCATTTTTCTTGCCTTTTTGCGGTTGTGGCCATTCTATGATCATGCCCGAACTGCGATCTTGCCCAGTGTGCAATAAGGGTCACAATTCCCACTTGTTCCACGGGGACCACGTTGTTAGAATTCTCGGAGACAGAATTATCGGAGTGACAAACAGCTGGTATTCTCTTGCTCCAGGGTGGCATTGACACCCCATGACCAGTGGCGTCGCCACGGGGTGGGATGGGATGGACATGTCCACGCCAGTTTTTCCAGCAGTCGATTTTCCAATTTAACGAAATCGGTTTAAAAATCCTTGGGGGTGGGGGGAGGGGAGTTGGGCTGAGCAGATCGATCTCGATTTTCACGCTGGCGTAAAAGCCACCGTTACCAAAAATCCTGCTTGAGAAAGTTGCTTGTCCGAAAATTCCAAAAAAGATGAAAATACTAAAAAAGCATTTTCCAAGAGTCTGAGGGGCGTAGACGAGAAATGTTTTGTATGTCCACCCCAGTTTTTTGAGCTGGTGCGACTGCCGATGTCACTCTTTGGCTACGAGATCCTACTCCACCGTCAATGACAATGCCAATGAGAGTAAACTCTCACAGAGACGCAATATTCCGATATTTTTCTTTATAAACACCTTCATAGAAAAGCCTAGTCCTTTTTGCTACCTCTCTTTATTGAGCTCATATATCGTACCAGGCATCTTCTTCGTACATCGCGATTGAGCCCCTATGTTTCTTAACATGACGCATCTGACGGCAAAAACAAATGCAAAGGGACGTGAAAGGCTTCAAGGTCTTGCAAATCAGTCCTTACTCCTATGCAGCGAAAAGTTACATATAAACCAGAAAAAAACCAGCAGTTTGATCTTGGCATAATTGCAGGACAACACCGCAATTTAGGGCATATTTTAAAGGCAATGAATTTTCCCAGGAAATTCATTACCTCGTTTCTGTGTAGTGCATGAAAATCAAACAGAGTCAGACATTTACATTTACGAGGAGACGAAAGAAGTAACCTTCATAATTTGACACATGCATTAAACGGTAATGACTAACAAGCAGTAATGGTTTTTCAAACATTTTTCAACAAAAGGGCACTTGCTAGTAGGAAATCATTGGCCAACTAGTGAGGATATTTAAGGTCCTGGTGGGGAAATTTCCCCTGGTGGGGAAAGAACCCCTGATGTGCACTGTAATATTAAAAAAAACAGTTGAACCTGCTTTTTATACAGAGTATTTTATATCCGGATTAAAAGTTATCCGGCATCGTGTAATCGCCGCCAAAGGCAGGCTTAAAAATGCTTGTATGTGTTATATCTATGTATGTATTACGTTTAAATTTATTACTCCTTTCGCTGACATATAAATTAGGAAAGAATGATAATTCAATATATAGCAGACGATCGAACATTCTCACTGATAGGATTCTTGTAAGATTCTTGTTTATTGTAGGATTCTTGGTCTTTATCTTCTAACATAACTAATATGTGACTATGCAAATCAGGCTATATTGATTCGGAGTCTTAGCAGACGCTAACCGGGCACGCCTCTTGCCCGAAATCCCTGAATTTTTCCCAGCGGGTCCCCGTGGTAGTGAGCCTTCCCCGAAATGTCTTCGTTTTTCGATTTTTGCCTTAGTTCTTTCGATATATGACATTTTTATTCGTTATCTCAGTTATCATTGTCCACCGTTGCTCATTTATGGCAATTCTATTGAAAGACTCTTTGTCTAGGTTTCCAACAGCTTCCTGGAATTTTTAAAAGGCCCATTCATCTCCTTTTAGGACGCTAGGAAGGGGGGAGCCTCTACCCTTCTCTATTTCAGGCGACCCCCTGACTAGCGATAGTCACAGGAGTGCGGAGCTAATTTTTTTCAAATCGAGGTTGATACACCTCTTGTCTTTTCCGAGGCTAATCTGCATACTCATTTGGGGGCTTCGAAAGAATTCTTATCTTTACCGAGGCTAATTTTACTCTTATTCACAGGGGGTTTTAAGAAAATTCTTGTCTTTTCCGAGGCTAATCTATGTACTCTACCGTAGGGTCACTGGCAAGCCCGCGTAGCGGGCTTCGTAGGGGAGCTAGTGTAAAACTATTCTTCAAGGTCTATTTTTAAATTTGTTGTTATCTGTTCATCTAATCGAAACTTTCCTTTCTCCTCTAGCACCGGTCTGTTAACTTCTAAAATGAGAAATAAGTAAAGCACCTTCATTTTTCTAATGCTCTAAAATGTTTCACTTTTTTCGTGTTATAAACATCAATTATAGTTCTTATATCTTATAGCCTATATATCTTACAAAAACGATGTAAAAATTCTTTAACCATCACATTAAAGCATATTACAATTCTTCTACCATCATTTTTAGAATCGATGAAGCAACTGGAAAAGCCTCAAAAAAGACACGCCTCAGTCAGCTACAGCCAGCCACTGAAATTGCCTCGAAACGATTCGCCTTTTTTTTCCCTTCTATGTTAAAAGCAACAGGACTGGACCCAAAGGAAGTGGCCAAAGAAGGGGCGGTTTTTTTTCTGTTCAACCCAAGGACATCCCGTTTCGTGACCGTCGGAACAAGTAATAACATGGTGACTGACCTCAGTCCTGAAGGAGAGGGCAAGTCGTTCAAACTGAAGGACCTTGGGGATGGAAAATATAACATAATTGTAAGAGATAGTGATGACACGACAGATAAAGGATTTTTGTACCTATCACAAGAGACCAGGGGGTTTTTTAAGGAGAATCGTCGTGTAATGACAAGTACTGTTGTTGGGTGGGGAGAAGCATACAAATTCAAGTTCATAGAGCACAAAAAGCAAAATGGCATTTACAAAATCCAATGCGATGGACAATTACTTTATGCCTCAGAAGGAGGACATAATTTCAAAGGAGATTTCCGACCCGACCGAGCAAATTCTGAAGAGATTTGGTTTCAGCTTAATTTTGAAGAGGTAGGTGCTCTGGAGGGTAGAATAGAACAGCATGTTCCTTCTAGTATAAGAAACAAAACTCATCTTCAAAGAAAACAGCCATCATGGTCTTAGGCTATAACTTATCAGATTACAGCAGATCTAAAACTACAACTAAAACATGCAATTCTGCTATCGGGCAGCATTTTCTGGAAAACCAAGATTGTGCAAAAAACTATAACGGGGGCATGTTTCGGATAGTTGGTAAAGCCCGGTCGTCGTTCCATCTAGCAGTTTTGGAATCTATCTACATAAGCAAGAAAAAAACCGCTATTGTGTAGACAAAAATTTTTCACCTTAGGACTAAATTGGTAACATTCTCAATAGACAAGCGGCACTGATTGGTCAACCTCAACAGTCATGTGCTCGTGTTTCTGATTGGCCTGTTTCAATCCACAACTGAGTATACTCATTTCCTACCGTTTTGATCTATGTTCTGACGTTTTATGTATTGAAGAATGTCAGACGAAAAACTTTAGTATACTCGAATGTTTGCTTTTTCCAAAGCCATTTTTAGTTTTGTACCGCCAAAAGATTGTTTGAACTTAAATCAGTCTTATATATTAAAACCAAGCCCAAATAACTATAGCCCGTTCGCAAATTTCAAATCACCACGTTCTGCACAGAGAAATTTCAACATGCTCTTCTAGCTTATGTGTTTAAAATAAAATTTCGGCTCGTGTAATCTCCAAGAGAGGCAAGAAACACAGTTTATCTCGGTCAATAGTAAAAACAGCAATTTTAAAACAATCAACTTCTGCCTAAACTGTACATCTTGTTTGCATAGAGACCGTGAGCAGTATAGAGTTAACAGCCAGATCGTGCTTCTACGTCCTTAATCCAGTGATGTAACAGTTGTTGGCAAAAATTTTCATGTTGTTCAGTGCAAGGCCCTTAAAGCCACGAGGACCTAAAAACCGCAAATCGCGCGGCCATGACCTTGCTGGCCTTGCGCTAATCCTACCCTGGAAACTTCGTGATGTGCTTTTATGATTTTGAAACTGCAAAGGTCCACATCAGCTTGCATAGCTGCAAGTATTTTAATTTCCTTATAAAATAAATTTTTGTATGTATGAACACTGCCAATGAAAATCGTGTGTCTGCTATAAAACACCCTTGTCTGAGAGCCTATTGTTCTCTTCTTTTGTTCTCATGGTGAGCTTGAAAACAACGTTATTCCTATCACGTGACTTATGTAGTGGGACGTTATGAAATGGTTTAGTTAGTTATGGCGCACACGAGAGAGTCTTGTGTTTCAAACACAAGGACTTTCGGATTTACAATACTCAATTTAAAAAAATGTTACTCAAACCCTAAGAAGACAGAGTTCTAATGTTATGACGTCACAAAAATCTGTTTCTAGAATTTTTTAATTTGGATCACATAACTGAAAAGATCATCACGATTTACCTCTAATTGTGCATAATCAGTCAACTGTGTTACGAATTGGCACAGATATGGCCACATGTGTATTGGCTCTTCCCCGTCAAGCCTCTATATTTTGGTTACTGTTCATAACTTTATGAACAGGGCCAAATAACAGTGGTTCGTTATTTATCCAAATAACAGTGATTCGTTAGGAAATTTCAAATCTTTCATTGGCCATACCTTAACCGGTTTTAGACATATTTTGCCAATGTTGCATATTTCAAAGCATCTCGTGGTGATCTTTTTTGTAATGGGGTTAAAATTAAAAAAATCTGAAAAAAAGTTTTTGGTGACGTCACACTTTAGAACTCTATTATGGCTGATAAGTTGTGGATGTAAAAAACGATATAAATGGGTTGAGCTATATTGCCTTTTATCTATCCATATTTTTAATTGATGTTTATAGCTTATTTTCATGTCGATTTTCTACTCTATTCTTATATTCCTTCTTTTTTCTTTTCTGGTTTCGTTACGACGCATCTCGAATTTGAAACGTCGTGTTTTCAATTATGGAACCAATTTACATTTTTCTGCTGTGCAATTTATTCGCTAACTCTATTAGCAATTTCAGGATGAAGTCTATATTAACCTTTTTGGGTTGAGGTTCATCGATCGATACTCTTTATTGATGCCTCTTTGTTTATCATTCTAATTTCTCTCAAAAATTTTGGTGTTGTGATCTTAGGGCCCTCTATAACATACACTTAGGGTAGAAATGTCTGGAAACGATAGGAATATGGCATGCCAGTAATACATGCACCGATTCCATTAACCTCCAGATCGGAAACAACTGGATGTACCGTTTTCTTCTAACGGCTGAGATGGACATTCTGATATTTACAGCATCGTCCGAAATTGTTATGATTGAGTGCAAGAGGTATCAATTCATGCTCGGCATGTAAATAGTGCTTAACATTGCACTCTCTAGCAACTGCTGTCACAAGAGACAGTCACAATAACACAAGTCACGAGTCACAAGAACATCTTTTAGGTAGATATTTGTATATTCTCTAACACTGGCATAATTTCATACCTGATCACATTTCAGAAAAGCTCTTAAAATGGCAGAAACTGCAGCACATTTTATAGCATGCTAAAAGAAGCTCCAAGAGAGTATAGTCTTTTGAAGATTAATTGTTTTCAGAACGTTTACCTTTTGCTTGCATTTGAACTCAACACTTAGTTTCCAAGACGTTGAAACATATCGGCTCAAATGACATTTTTGAGTTGTTGAAAAACACGAATGCCAGAAAACTTTAAAATTGAGGAAACGCAAGCTGAATTAAGACCATTATTAATTCATTCTCACGTGCTTGGAAACTGCAGATCAACCAATCGATGACTTCATGCAAACTTTCATTAACAATAAATCGGCATTTGCAACTCTGATAGAGCTCATTCTTTAAAACTTTTTGCTCCTAATACAATGCCAAACAAGATGATGTGAGCGATTTTTTAAAAAAGGGGTGTAAACATTTTGATAACCTGAGAAAATTACGTCGTCGATCGCGTGATTTCTATTGTTTTACAGAAATCTATTCAAAACTTGTAATGTTCGCCAAGGCTTCAAGTACCTAAATTAAGTGAAAAACCCAAGGTTAAGCACTTTTCTCGATGGCTGCGTAAAATTCCTTTTCTTTCATTGTCTTACGGGACATCTTCCTCAAAACAGCAAACTAATCATTCAAATTTATCTTCAAATGACATTCAGTAAGATGGCGAATACATTTTTACAGCATAAACTATCGTTCCCAAGCCCCTTCACCAAGTCATTCTGATTTAGAAATTTATCCCCTTAGGCCCTTGGCGACTGTGAGCCACCATTTCAAATTATTCATTCCATACTTTTGAACCCTAAGTGTATACATCGTTTGTTCACCTTTCGCAATGCTGCCAAACACAGGCTTTCGACTCTTACAGCTTCAACTAAATCTGAATGTTAATTTAGAAAAATCTTAATACGACTTAATCGATTCTTAATTTTTTGCTCATAAAAAAACTGGTTGTTAAATGATATAAAAGTTATAACGATTGTCATACAAATGTTTTCTACATGTTTTTGGGCACTGGACAATATGATTATAGTATAATATTTGCTTACCATATACATAAGTATTTTTCATTTATTTCCTTACGTAAGCTTGTATGTTTGATTGTGTGCTAAAACATTGTTGCTTGTGACAGGAGCTTTAACCCTGCGTTGTATCCAAATTGATGCAATGTAGGGTCATCATTCTTCCTCTCTATCGGCTTTCATAGTTTCAACACCCGTTTCAGGTTTAGATTGCAATATTCAATGTCTTTTCGCTTGAACTTCCTACGAATTCTTTCTTTTCCATAAATACTGACTTTTTAATTACAAAGTTAACATTTCATGGCAATAGTTCTCGCTTATAAAAACATTCCCAGTTTCGATTTGACCCCTAGAATCATTATTCGATAGTCCTGTACTTCTTTGCGACTTTCAAAGTTTCGTTTCTTTAAGTTCCAACAAGTATAAACTCTAAACATTCTTACTCCTTAGAAACAAAAATTACTAAATTTCCATATCTTGGGACTACATAATTTGAGCCGACCATAGTTCTTAAAATTGATTGTAACTTCATCTATATTTTTGAAAAACTCTCAAAACTCAACAGCAGTTCTAAAACTATTTTACACGTGTCCGCTTAGATCATGTGATTGCAATAAACACGAACAAAGGGTTAGGATAAAAAGCTTCTAGACGAGAGCTTTTTCTATAGACTATGGTTACAAGATGGTTGCATTTCTAGAAAAATAAAAGCTAGATATGTTAGCTGTCATTTAAATATCTTTGATGATTTTTTTAATAAAGCGATTCAACTAATTTTAATTTTTCTTTGAGCTGTTGAAATGCCAACCCAAAATAATTCTAAATTTTGTAACAGGCCCATGTGTAATTTTATTTCACTTTAACAATTTCTTTCTACTCTATTTAATGAAATTATTTGTGAAGGCAGAAAGCAACGTGTTATCGCAGCGAGCCAAGCATGGTGGTTCTTATTTAAGCATATTACTAATTGTTGAATTTCAGAACAAATCTATCAAAGTTGTGAAGCCGAAAGACAAGTTAAGACCCGATGTTATAACTGACGATAATGCAATTCAAGTTGACTATGATGAATTCGAAAATGGTGGTAGTAGTGATGTGAAGAAAACAATTAACAAGGCGGAAAAGATTACACAACTCGCGACAATACTAAAGAAATTATCAAGTACTGGAAAGATTGGAACAGCAAAAAGTAAGGAATTATCTTTCTTTTATGATTTCTCTTCGCTCGCATCTCCTTTTTATCCATGTAGCATTGCTTTTGTTTCAATACCTTTAGATTTTTTAGCCATTTCTAACTTGAATATCAGAGACGGATAGAGAGTGAGTTCCTTGGTGCACAGAACCCAGTGTGTTTTTCAACATAAAACTAGAAATAATGTTCCTTGAAAGAAGTAATATTCAAACTAAAAATTGGAACATACAAATTCTTTTATCACAGTCTCTTCAACTTTAGAATAGCCAGTTTGATATATTTCATTCGTATTTGTTGTCCTTTCTTCCCTGGTATGATTTAGGAACAATTTTCTAGAACCTGTGGAGACCAACAGACCACTAGGCTAGCTCTGATAAAAAAGAAAGTAAATCCTAGACCTCGGAAATATACGATTTGTGCTTCAGAAGTGAGTGAAATAAAACAATAATAATTTGTGTTGGAACACGGATGGAACTCAGTCAGAACAGCATCTGGAATTTGGAAATGATAAAATATTTGTAAGCTAGCTGTACAACAGCCAGTAGTTGATTGGCTGCCAATTTTTTCTGTTCTGGCATTGCAAATGTCTTATATTCGCGACCCTTGCAGCATTCTAGTAGATTAATAAGCGTTTGAGATAAATTCTGGAAATATCATTAATCTAACAGGGACATAAACTACCTTTGTAGCAGGTAAGACCTATACTCGGGCGTAATAATAACACCATATTTTAATGAATTGGCTAGTAATTCTACGGAGGCAAAACCGAGCAACACAATAAATTTGTGCTCAATCTTAAAGTGCTTTGATTTTATCTTGACATTGAAATGCGAACAAAAGAAAACGAAAAACTTTGATGTGGCATCCAAGACAGTTAAAAGAGTAATGAGAAGGGGATGCTGTTGCGAGGATTTCCACAGAGGCACTGTTTTCAAAAAAATTCATAATCTAAATTTAGTGACTAGATAGTACCCCAGCCCTTGGTACCAAAACGCATTAATACGACTAATAATATTGTCTTAGGCACAATTACAAACCATAACCTTGTTATCTTAAGGGTCCCAGGCATAGCCAGGAACTCAGTCAGGTTTTTCACTGGATCCGCCCCAGATTATGATTAACAGAGAATTACATATTTGTCGTATTTCTTCTTCGCCCCTACCTTTAATCAGAACATTTTTAATCTCGTCACTCTTATGCATGAAAGACTTTTCGTGTCCTTAGCATTTTTTTCTGGTATATAAAGATGATTCCGTTAAGACTGGTAGATGATTTAAAGAAATTAATGCCGGAATCATCTTTAAAATCTTCACTTTCACGAGGGCATCTACAAATCACTGTGCTATTTCAATTAGTTTTTATCTATATATGCAGTTAGGTGAATTCAATGTTCTCAAGAGGTACATACTTGATATTTAAAGAGTATCTAAAATATATTCCTCGTTTTTATTTGCTACTTTAGCTGTACCCTTTGTCAGTGGTGAACTGAGTGTGACAGGAGAGTATTCAAAAACAACCGCGAAGGGTAAAGACAATGAATCAAGCTCGTCAACTGCTTTCACCATCCCTTCAAAAAAGAAAGTTTGTATTACTTACATCTACAGAATATTACCAAGATATGACGAGCAGGAGCTAGAAATCACCAACAATGGCAAGAAATTCAAAGGATTCAAGTTAATCGAGTCCGGAAGTACAGGGTCCTTTGCGATGAAACTTAGAGAAGTTGAACTTGATGTAGACTGTTAACTTATTTAAGAACAGCTTTTGCAAAAGTTACTCTAATGCATAAAATACCAACGATGCGGAAGTAATTTGGCTTTTCTTTTTGTGAAATGTCTCGATTCTTTATGGAAATGTAAATCATCAAAAATGCTTCTTTTTTTTAGGCACAAAATTTTCGTTTCTATAGCATATTTTTCAAATAAAACATTTTAGAGGTTTATGCTGACACCAAACATCACTTGGAAAAGTCCCTCCATAGTGAAAGATATAAATTTTAAAGTATAAGTTTAAATGAAAAAAGAGTCATTTGAAGGAGGAATGCCCACGGCCGAAAACCCTTACCCAACCATGGAATATTCGATATGAAAAGCCAGTAAAAGAAGCTCGACTAAAATTAGAACGGAAAGCTCTTGCAGCAAAAAATCAATCATTTACAATAACCTCTTTTGACTATTAGGCCTAACACAATGAAACGTATATAGATCTGTATTTTTTTTATTTTTCGCAAAGTTTCCTCTGATAGTTAATAACAATGAATAGGTCTGCCTCGTCGATTTCGTAAGTTAAATCGAGGCTGCTTTCCGAGTTCAATATTATCGTCATAATCATTATCATCATCTGATTCCATATCAACTGTCTCATTTTCTTTGTTAACATCAGACTCTAAGAAAAAATTTAATTTTGACTTACCGAAGTTCTCTGTTATTTTACTCAATCAATCTCTTGGCAGCCATCCCTTGTCTTCTCAATGACCACTTCATAGCAAGGATGCTTATTCCTGACTACTTCATATGGTCCAATCCATTTTGGCTTCAACTTTGCGCTTTCAAATTTCGGTAAATATTCAAGAACCTTATCTCCAACAATAATTCAGAGTCAATCATCTTCTTATCAATATATTTTGCAGTTTTTGCTTGTCTGGTCTTCATCTTTTCATGAGCAATTACATACATTTTTGAAACTTGAGTTCAGCCCCAAACATGAGTTCAGCTGGACTATATTCCGTTGAAGTTTTGACAGAACTATTATAAGAATATGCCAATTCCCTCATCCACAAATCATAGTCCTGAGAATCCTCTATGTAAGCAGTAAGGTGTTTTTTGATAGTGTTATTTTATTGTTTTATTAATCTATTTGCTTGTGGCCTCTACCCTGATGTTTTAAGTTTCTTTACCCCGAATTCTTTCATTAGCAATTGAAATAATTCGAACTCATAAGCAGGGTCTTGATCTGAGTAAAGTTTCAAAGGTATTCCAAAGGTTAAGAAATAGTCTAAATCGACTTACATGCTGTCTTGGCTGTTTTGTCTTTCAGTGCATAACATTTCATGAATTTTGAAAACTGATACGTCATCACCAGATTGTTGATATTGGCTCTGCTTCTAATTGGCAAATTAACAATGAAGTCAATCGATACGAGTTCTGATGTTCTTGTTGGCCATTCTCTGATACCACATCCTCGAACAATTTCGGCCACCAAAATAATCTTTGGAGTACATTTTTGTGCGTTTTAAATGACCCATAGTGTCCAGCTGACCATTAATTGTGACTAAACTTTAATACATCCGTTCGTATTTTCTCAGGTATAAAAATACAACTATCTCCACAATGATTAAACTTTAAAGGCCCATTTCCACTTCGTTCGGATTTCGCATCCGATCTCCGATTTCCGAACGACGAACGTTTTCCAATTTCAATCCACACTTTCACAACCTTCGGACGAATCTTTTGTAACGAAATCCAAAAAATGACAATTTTGGCGCGTTTTTCAATTGTTCGTTATCGAAATCTAAAATGGCTGCTTTTAATCGACGAAGATTGTTGATTTGGATGCTGATGAGAAGAAGACAGCTGAAAAGAAAAGAAAAATACCTTAAGAGATTTTGGTTACGACGAATCCTTCAACAAAGGAAACAACAAGAAGAGTATTTCAACTTGCTGAGAGAAATGCAATTGGCACACATGTCTCCACACTTGTTAAATACCGTAGCGTAACTGCAGAAACACTGGCAGTTACGCTACGGTATTTAGCTACGGGAGATTACCATCAAACAATTGAAAAGTTATCGTTTAGGCCACTCGACGGTCAACAAGATCATTACTTAAACATGGCAGGCAATATTGATCCTACTTATGTTCAGTGCCCATCTACACCAAAGGAGTGGAAAGACATCGCGCAAGAATTTTGGGAAGGATGGAATTTTCCGTTATGCATTGGGCCCTATATGGGAAACATGTAAGGTGTCATTGCCCTGCAATTACTGATTCTATCTATTTAAACTTTCATAGATGGTTCAGTATCGTCTTAATGGTCAATATTCGAGCTATTGGAAGTGCAAGTGATAGTGGTACATTTACAGCAGACTTTGCTGCCGAGTACTAATAAACAATGTCCATACGTAACAACAGCGGATTTTTCATTGGGAAGGCATCTCATGAAACCATACGGAGTAAGGTATTTAGAGCACCAGAAACGTGTTTTCAATTACAGATTGTCAAGGGCGAGACGTGTAAGTAAAATACAATTTGGAATATCAACAGCTCGATGGAGGATATTCAAAAGACCGATCAATGCCACCCCAGAACGTTGTTTAAGTATAACCAAAGCAGTAGTTGCACTCCACAACTTTCTGATGTTAAATGAGACAACTCTGCCAAGGAATGAAGGAAGATATTGCCCCCAGGTTTCACTGATTCTGAAGACAGGGAAACAAACTTCATACCAGGTGGATGGAGAAAAGAAGCTGGAAATGACACTGGGTACTATCCAGCAGGAGCTGGGAGGAATAGAAACCCATGCAAGAAAGCAGCAAAGGAAATAAGAGACATGCTGAAGGTTTTTTTTAATTCTCAAGAAGGTGCTGTACCATGGAAAAATTAGTTTGTTAATAAATGACATTGAGAAAACTGATTTTTAGCTAGCCAGTATGTTTTAATTTGTACTGCCGGCCGGCCATTATGTACATGCTTATGTTTTAACAGAACCCTGAAAAATTTAACCCTAAAATAAATTTACCCTAAATAATTTACTTAAATTCATTTGATAAAAACTAGCAAGTTACCCCATCCCTTCCAATTAACACTGTATACAAGAAACTTTTCATGAATTTCATTTTAAGTATTAGTAACAATACAAAATTTCTTTATGACAAAAAATTTGGCTTCTTGAAAAAAAAATTTAGGGGGGAGGTATCTTTAGTACACGACAAAGCCTATGCTAATTATCATCCACAATTCTGGCTTTATAAAAAATTCTTTGCTTGATTTTGAGGAATGTATGTGCAACGAGGAACTGCATCCCATCTGTTGTTTGAGAAATTTTCATTAGTATTGATTAAATTTGTTGCACTTTCAATTCACTGTATTGTTTTGATTCTTTTCTTATAGGATTATAATCTCATTTATTTAGCTTCGACGTATCACAAAGAGTTCTTAAAGGTTGTCCCTTATTGATACCTCTTGTCATTTTTACATACAGGAAGTGAGATTGTTAAAAGGCTCGAGTATTTTTTTGACTCACAGGGGGCTTTTACTTGGGAAAATACCATTGGGATTTGTAATCAAATTCAAACCTAGACTCCCAAAATAAAGGCAACTTGAAACAAGGATATGAAGTTTGTTTTTTGAGTGAATAAGAAATATCTTAGAACAGTGCTCAAAGGCTCTTATTGAAACAAACATCAGGGGCAAAGCCAAAAAAATGTTAAAGGGATTCCGAAATGATTTTTGCCAACAAAAAAGGAGGTCACTCAATCTCTTGGGGTCTTCTCATAAGTATACAATCTTATATGATGATATGATTTTATGTGTTTATATTTCAAATTTCATACTACTTCGGACGTGCTTCTGCTACAGAAACTGCAATAGAAATGTTTATACATTTATTGTTGCAAAAAGTTTATACTACAGGTCGAGAAACAGACTCATCTTTGCCTGCCAAAAATCCTTTATGTGTCAACTGAAAAAATTTTTGGGGAGGAGGGTGCAACATACTCTGTATCCCCCATTGGTAACAACCCTGGAAAATACATTCAATTCCAATTGAAAAACAACGGTAAAGAGACAGAAATGCCAATGAGAATCACCTAAATGAAAGGTTTTTCATTCAGTATTAATTTAATATTGTATTTAATATCAGAAGGTTCTGACCAGGCAAAGTTGACTAGTGGACTCTTTATAGAAAAAACTGTTAAATTAACGGCATTTCTTTCAATGGTTATGGTATCTTTTGCAATACTAACATTTTATAAAATATGTAAAGATTAGCCAATGTAACTATAAATAAAGATGCAATTTTTGCAGTTAAGTAGCTACTTATAGTTATAGTGTACTTTCATTATAAGAATATAGGCTTTAAAGTATTAGTGTTATTGTGTTACTCTCCGAATTCATAGTCGAAAAGCAACTGTTGAATCTGGAATTTTGCCCGGGCTTTCGATTTGGGGTCCAATCTTTTCAGTTGAGGCACAAGAATCTGCATGATAGGCTGTTCTCATCTTCTTTTTCAGTGGCTCGAGAGCTTCTGAGCTCTGCTAGAATCGCAAGGTCTATTGCATTTGTTGAAGCAGCAGTTTCTTTTCTTTTCCGTTTGCCAGAAACATTTGGCTTTATTGGCTGAAAGTTTGTCGCTGAAAGCTGCTTTCTCCCCTGCTCTTCACTCCGTTTTCCTTGCTACTGCTTGCCAAATTGGTGCTTTCCTCTTCTTGGTCGAATAGAGAGTCATTCGACCCAACGCTCATATCGACGTACGATACATTCACAAAATCAAGTTGAGAGGGATCGACTGTAGAATTTATAATGTTTTCTAGTGTTTCCTCTTCACCATCCGCTTCGTCAGTGTCATGGTCTAGGCCAATTCTCCGAAAATTTGAGACAGTCGGCACTTCAATATTAAAAAATGCCTTGCTATATTCCATGGCTCTCATCCATGGCCACCTAACTTTCTTCGATCCACCAGCATCACCAGATTTAGGTGCTATTGCTTTTAGTTTTTTTCGATATGTGTCCCTGAAATCGCGCCATTTCGCTTGTGCACATAACGGGCGCCCTTCAAGTCCAATATTGGTGGATATTCTCAGCCAAGCAGCCTCTTGTGCGTTCTTGTTTTTGTACATTAGACTTCCCGTGTTCCAAAGGATTTCATTTTCGTGCATTTGCTCAATTAACGCACTAACTAAATCACTATTCCAATCAGTTTTTGAAGACGCCATCTTTGAACCTGTGTGCACCGACGCTCAGTTTCTGTTAGTGATCGGCCACCGTATTCCAAAGGTTGTAAAATACCATCAATTTCATCACTCAATACAAAACCAATAACTGAATTTGTTTGTATCTGTTTGTATGATGAATGGCTTGTTAAAATCGGGATATCCCAATGTGACTGATAAACTTTCCTTTATTTGCCGAAATGCATTGTCACAGTCAACACTCCATACAAATTGATAGTTCTTCTTCAAAAGGTCATACAAGGGGGCAACATTTTCGGAAAAGTTCCTGACGAATTTACGATACAGACGATTTAGCACACAATCCAAGAAATGTCCTCAGTTGATCAACTCCACTTGGCGTGGCAATATTAATAATCCCTGTAATCTTGATTCACGTGCCCTTATGGCGGCTAGACGTTGTTTTTCGCACTAAGCTTGTATAAGCGCGTTGGCTGTAATTGCTGGACTGCTTTTACCATTATTTG